GACCACAGGAAGCTGGCGTCCATCTTGTTCCACGTGGTTCCTCCTGCTCTGAACGCCGTGATCTACGGACTGCAGATCAAAGCGGTCAGAGAGAAGATCTTCATCATATTCAGCAGCAAAACAAAGACGGCGCTGAAGAGACTTAATGCAGATGTAAATAATCATTAATAAACAGTTTCACAGACGTAAACCTGCTTTTCTTATTGTTGATAATTTCATTTGAACATCTATTCTATCAATAATCAGATGAATCAATCTGAATCTTTTTTTTTTTTTTTTTTAAATGAAAACGTCTAAATTCTGTGATGCAGCTTCTTAAATGTGAATTTTTTCTGACAGGTTGATCAACATTATTCACCAACAACTGATCGATCAATGAAAACGATGAGCCTTCATCACACCGAACTCCAGGAGAGAAAGGTCCAATTCAAAGCCAGACGGATCAATTAATCAATTAATCCCGACTTTTAGCTCCGCTTTGGTTGCTTCTGGCAGATTTCAGAGTCAGTAAATTAAAAATAATTAGTGAGATGTTCACAAATCTGAAAAACAAAATGACAAGTAAAATAAGAAAACGTTTCTTGAAACCAGTCGTGTTACGAACGTTCAGAGTGTCGACGTTCAAACTGTTCCACAACCTCCCAGTGCTTCATGAATTACTTCCCAGTAGTTTTGTCTCTCCAGACTTCTCACATCTTGTCCACTGCTGCCGTCACAGAGCTTCGTTCTTATTTACATGGTTTTCAGTGAACATGCTGTCAGATCCAAAGCTGGGTCAGCCGGCTCCATTGTGCACCGCTTTCAGACCAAAACTAATCAAAAACTAAGTCCTGTGAAGTTTCTTTGGCTGGATTTCAAGAAATTTTAAATTTTGTATTTTTACTGTCAAAAAAAAAGCTCATTAAATTTATCTCCCACAGTCATGACAGACAGAATAGTTCCCAGCAGGTCCTAATGATCCAGCAGAGGACATGTTTATAACCACTGGAACATAAACATGGACAAAAGTGCAAAACTTCCAACCCAGTTTCTACCAGAACCCAGTCTCTGGTCACATCTCACCACCTGTTGAGGCGCAAACATCAGCAGAACCTGATGTGGTGAAGCTGGACCAGACCAGGTTCTGGTTTTCAGATATCTTTATATGTCAAAATGCCAACACGAGTCCATTTGGACAAGTTTTGATTCATTTCGACCATATTTTGTGTCATTTTGGACACATTCAGTTTAATTTTTAACCACATCTGAGTCCTTTTGGGGCATTTCTGAGTTTTTTTAGACACATTTTGAGTCATTTTGGAGATTTTTTTTTGTTTTTTTGCATTGTGAGACAAGTTTTGAGTTACCAGGTTGGTATCATGTCTCCAGAAAGTTCCTGTCAGTGTCTGTCTATGGATGGATCCATGGTTCTACTAGAACCCAGTCTCTGGTCACATTCCACCACCTGTTGAGGCTCTAACATCAGCAGAACCTGATGTGATGAAGTTTGGCTCCAGTTTTTAGATACTTTGACAAAACGGTGGTCTGGACTCGTTTATCAGGAAGCAAACCTGGAGTTCACAGGTTCTATGTGTTGGTTCTATGTGTGCGAGGTTACGAGCTGCGTTCATGGTGAATGTGAACAGAACGGAGAATCTGATGATAGTTTAACACACAACAGTTGACATCCATAACGTTTCTTTTCTCTCACTGTTGGACATGAAATCGGACTAAAAGCTTCTTGTTTTGATCTTAGTGTACGTAAACGTCTGACTTTGAAGAAAGTAATAAAAAACTCTCTCTCATTTTTCTGGCGTTGAGCAAATAGAAATCATTTTGTTAGTTCTAGTTAATGGACTGTTTGAAGCTGCTGGGAACTATTCTGTCCAAACCACATCTCATGTCTCTATTATGTCCCTTGTACATGCTCCCTGTAGGCAGTATTATTAGGAAGCACTGCATAAGTTCCCAGTGTTATGCAGACGACACCCAGCTATATTTATCTATGAAGCCAAATGAAACCAATCAGCTGGTCAGACTCCAACATGTCTGAAGGACATAAAGGTCTGGATGACCTGGAATCTCCTTCATTTAAATCCAGACAAACTGAGGTTCTTGTATTTGGCCCTAAACACCTCAGAAACACACTCTGGAACCAGACAGCTGCTCTAGATGGCATCGCCTTGGCCTCCAGTTCTACTGTGAAGAGCCTTGGAGGTATCTCTGACCAGGACATGTCCTTCAGTAGACATATAGAACCAGTCTGTAGGACGGCCTTCGTTCATCTCCGTAATACTGTAAACATCAGAACATCCTGTCTCAGAGTGATGCTGAGAAACCAGTCCATCATTCAGAACCTCTAGACTGGACTGTTGTAGTTCCTTATTATCAGGATGTCCCAGTAACTCTCTTAAGAACCTCCAGCTGATCCAACATGCTGCAGCAGGGTTCTGACAGGAACCAGGACCAGATCATATTTCTCCTGTATCAGCTTCTCTTCAGTGGCTCCCTGTGAAATCCAGGATAGAATCTAAACCCTGCTTTAACTTATAAAAGTCTTAATGATCAGGCTCCATGTGACCTTACAGACCTCATGGTACCGCATCATCCTAACAGAACCCTTCGCT